CCCTGCTCATTTGCTCTTGCTCTCTCTCATTTGTTCTATCTCAAAGAAAAAAAAAGTTAGGTAGGAATAGGAACTTAAAACAGCTGTAGTGTAGGAGAAGAGCCAGAAGAGTAAGAGATCACAGAACATTTTAGGAAAGTGAGATTCTCAGTTGTGTTGAAATCTGGGTGAGGTCAAGAGGACCTTGGTGAGGGGCCTTATCATCTCTTGACTGTTGCCATAACAACTTCTTCTTTTCTTTTTAAAAAGATTTTATTTATTTATTCATGAGAGACACAGAGAGAGAGGCAGAAACACAGGCTGAGGGAGAAGCAGGCTCCTTGCAGGGAGCCCGATGTGGGACTCGATCCCAGGACTCCGGGATCATGCCCTGAGCCAAAGGCAGACGCCCAACCACTGAGCCACCAGGGCACCCCTGTTGCCATAACTTCGTAACTGTTCTTGCTTATGTTTGTGAACTCCTCTACTCTGTCACATGACAAGAAAGACTGTCTTTCACAAGTAGTGGAATTCTCTCTTAGGTGCTTGAAACCCAACATTAACTCTCTTGTACCAACTGAATAAAGTAAATATCATAATTTTTTTCATGAGCTGACACCTCTTTGTTGTTAAGGTAACCTTCTACTACAAACTCTCCACCACCTATCTCCTTCTACCTGCCACTACAAACTCTCCACCACCTATCTCCTACTACCTGCCAACTTTAATTTGAACCTACTTTATAAGATGTTGTGCTCTGCTTTTGGGTATTTTGATGTGTTTTTTTCCAATTTCCAGAATTCTTCTCTTCCTTGGCTCATCTAAACCTTGTTAAACTTTTCCTCTTCATTATTTAAAACCCAATTTAGGCAGCACCTTCTTTGGGCAGCCTTTTTTGATTAAAGATTGGTTGCCCAATTTGGTGAATTGATTATGAATTTGATCATGATTTCCTCACAATGACTTTAGACTTATTAAACTGTAATAATAATTATTTGATGTTTTTATGACAGATATACATGCATTCATTCATTAAATCAATATTGATTCAGCACCTATTTTGTGCCAAGCGTTGACCTAAGCACTGGGAATACAGCTGTGGATGACACATACAGGTCCCTGCAATATGGAATTAATAATCTAGAAGGTTGAATACATATTTAACATATCTTGGATATTAAAATGTGTTTTTTATTTATGATGAGATTAGTGGAGATAAAATATGAATATTTCTGGCATTTGATAATATGATAATGGTATGAAGTATATAAGCCTTGACACATTCTTTTGTAATAGCATTAAGAATCTAGTGACACATAGAACCATGTTAGATATTATGCAAAGAAAATTTTGTTGCTTTTTATTCATTGTACATATTAAGCTTACACGAAATACGAGAATTTCATACAGATGTTAAATTTCTAAGCATAGGCATTTTGACCTTTGTCAAGGATACTGTAGAAATGAATACTCTGTTATGCAGAGTGTTAGGTTAAATCACTTATATGGTTTCTTTGATTTTTATGGTTTTTTGGTTTTGGTTTTTTGTTTTGTTTTACTTTGGCTTCCTTCCTTCATAATTTTGTTGACTTCGACATTGTCACTCATTGATAGGTATGATAAAGTCCACTTTATTATAAGCTAGCACAGATTTCTCAGCTGTGCTCTTAGGAGTAGTCAAATTGTGGGATATTAGAAAATGTTACACAAAGCATGTTATGATTAAGTTAAACATAAGTGAGGTTTTATTTTTTCTCTTATTTATTTATTTATTTATTTATTTATGATAGTCACAGAGAGAGAGAGAGAGAGAGAGAGAGAGAGAGAGGGAGGGAGGCAGAGACACAGGCAGAGGGAGAAGCAGGCTCCATGCACTGGGAGCCTGATGTGGGATTCGATCCCGGGTCTCCAGGATCACGCCCTGGGCCAAAGGCAGGCGCCAAACCACTGCGCCACCCAGGGATCCCCATAAGTGAGGTTTTAAACGAGTTTATGTTTTTTATCAGCTGCAGGCATGCTTGGATCCTTTAAAATGCCATTATTCATTATGAGGCTCTAATAGTGAATTATATCGTAAGTAGTATTTCGTAGAGGTCTTTGACCTGGGAACCCTTTTTTTCACGGAGTATTTTGTGATACTAGATGTGGGACACTGTGGGACACTAGATATGAAATGCTGATTTTAATGATTTGGATTTCACAGTAAAAGATTTTAGTTCATTACCAGAGTTCTCTTTCTCCTTTCCTCTCCTCCCCTCCTTGGATCTAACAGTATATAAAATCCAATCCAAAAATAGGTAAATATGATTATATGTCATGACCAAATGAAGTTCATCTCAGAAATGAATACCAGCTTAACATTAAAAAATGAGTCACCATACTTCAACATTTTAACAAACAAAAAAAGCTATATAATCATCTCAGATACAGAAAAAGCATTTGACAGAAATTTAACATCTATTTTTTAAAAAATATTTTAGCAAAGTAAGAATAGAAGACAGTGTCTCAACCTGATAAATTAAGACATCTACAAAAAATGTACATCTTACATTAATGTGAAGGATGCTTTTGTAAGGGAGCATACTTTTCTAAGATATATGTCTTTGACATATTATTTTAAGCTGGTTAATGATACTGCAAACACAGGAAAAGCTCTAAAAACCAACTATAAATTATCCTTTTGTATGAGACATTTATAAGAAAAATCTCCCATTTGTAAGATGTCTCCCTTGCTGTACCAGAAAGAGGGTTTGACTCAATTCCTAGAAATTGATGAGAAATTCCTAGAGATGGCAGTGAGTTAAATGCATAGCAACCTTACTGTTGTTTACTGTGCTTTTCCTGGTAACTTCCCACAAGTGACTCCCAACATCTTTGTCTTTGGCTGAAGGCAGTATTTAAGTTGATGGCTTTGACCAGTTTGGGGAGCTGCTCAATTTCCCTGAGTTGCTCCTATGTATATAGAAGATATATATGTTATCAAACCTTTCTCCTGTTAACCTGTCTCATGTCAATTTGATTCTTACAGCAGCTAGAAGAACCATGAAGGGTGACAGGAAATCTTTCCTCCCCAACCCTGAAAGGAATCATAAAAGGATGTTTGCTCTCTACTTAGGTTCATTGTACTGGAAGTTCTAGTCATTACAATGGGGCAAGAATCTCCAAAAATCTACTTGAATAAATGAGTTTAGCAAGGTTGCAGTGTGTGTGTGTGTGTGTATGAGTTTATGTAAGTATGGTGTCATTTGATATATGGCAAGGATGACATAGTAACAGTGTAGTGGGGGGTGGAGTAAAGACTATTTCAATATATGATATGAAATCAATTGGATATCCATATAGAAAAAAACCTAAATATTGACTTTACCTTGTGTCATACAAAAATTTAATTCCAGGTCAGTTATAGATCTAAATGTGAAAGATAAAACAATAAGGCTTATGTTAGAAGAGAACTATGAGATATTAGAGTAGGAAACTAATTCTTAAATAGTACACAATGATATTGTAAAGGAAAAGATTGATTAGACTATATTAAATTTATGAATTTCTGTTCATTAGTTACCATTTTTTTTAATTTTTATTTATTTATGATAGTCACACACACAGAGAGCGAGAGAGAGAGAGAGAGAGAGAGAGAGAGAGAGGCAGAGAGAGAAGCAGGCTCCATGCACCGGGAGCCCGATGTGGGATTTGATCCCAGGTCTCCAGGATCGCGCCCTGGGCCAAAGGCAGGCGCCAAACCGCTGCGCCACCCAGGGATCCCCTCTGTTCATTAGTTAATTGAAAGATGCCATTAGAAAGGTTTTAAAATAGACAAGTTACAGAATGGAAGGAAATATTTACAATACAAATGATCCATTTTTTAACTGCTTTTTATTTTTTTTATTTTTTTAATAAATTAATTTTTATTGGTGTTCAATTTACCAACATACAGAATAACACCCAGTGCTCATCCCGTCAAGTGTCCCCCTCAGTGCCCATCACCCATTCACCCCCACCCCCCGCCCTCCTCCCCTTCCACCACCCCTAGTTCCTTTCCCAGAGTTAGGAGTCTTTATGTTCTGTCTCCCTTTCTGATATTTCCCACACATTTCTTCTCCCTTCCCTTATATTCCCTTTCACTATTATTCATATTCCCCAAATGAATGAGAACATACACTGTTTGTCCTTCTCCGATTGACTTACTTCACTCTTAACTGCTTTTTAAAGAATATAATGAAATGAGGATGTGTTTTAGTTTCTCTGTTGATCCCATTTAAATGGATCCTAGTTTTTTTTTTAAACCCATAAGTTATATTTTAGTTACAAAATAACATTTATAAGGAACCTAGAAATACTCTTGACATTGTGGAGAAAAAGTGTTGGGTGGGACAATAGCTGTGTCTTGTTTGTTGTTCAATTCTTGAGCCTTGTGCAGTAGGTGATACAGAATTAGTTTTCAGCTTATGTTTATTGAGTTAATGGATGGATATTTTTAATTACAAGCAAAGTATGTGTAAAGAGATAAACACCCTCGTAGGAAGACTGGCCTTTTAAGCTTAAACCTAAAAATTACAGTAAGAATTATATATATATTTTTTATATATTTGGACATACATAACAAAAGTACTAACATTTTTAGAATATGAAGGTGGGAAGCATTTTAGTTGTATAACATTTACCACATTTATGGGAAGCTTATCATGGTAATTGTCTTCTCATCTTGGCAAGGGGAAGGGGAAGCCTGTTTGGTCTCTAAGGTATAATGGAAAGGAGAGAATTTCATCTCACAAAATAGGATTTTCTAAGGACATAATACTACTATGGAGAAATGGACTTAGTTGAGAGAGTGCATACTATTTGTGTTAGCTGAACAGAGCTTTGTATTTAGCAAATGACAGTTATAAGAGTATGGGATATCTTAATGGATACTTTTTGAAAAACTAGGTTAAATCTAATTGAATATAAGCCTGGGGCATATGATGAGCAAGAAGAGTTGGTAATGATTACATTATTTACATTTCAACTTTATGTTTTTGCAGAGTTCTAAAGTTCCTGTTGCTTCAGACAATGGATGAGCAATCACAAGGAATGCAAGGGCCACCTGTTCCCCAGTTCCAACCCCAGGTAACTTGGTCTAATGAAGGCTGGTGTGTGTGTGTGTGTGTGTGTGTGTGTAAATAAAATTACAGTTCCTTTAGGAAATAAGCCAAAAATGCTAATTATGCATGTCCAAGTTTTAGAGTTGTGTATATTTTTAAGTAGTGTTTTAGAATACTTAGTTCCCATGTATGAACATTAAAAAAAAAAAAAAGGAACTTTAGATTTTTGCTTTAATTGAATCAAAGACCTGTAGGCTTTGAGAGTTAATAATAGACTTACGGAAAAAAAAAGAACACAGGAGGTGAGGCTGTGCCCAGCTTGTGGAGGTGACTGTGTATTTGTTGCCTGTCTTTGCTTTGGCTGACTGATCCTGCCTTACCCACAACCGCCTTGCATTATTGCTACTTTTCTCATGTTCTCTGACGAGTAGTATATTTCTTCTGTTAGGTGGTTGCTTGCTTTTTGGTAACAAAAAGAAGAAAAAAGAATGTTTTATACAAAGCTTGCCATTAAGCTCAATATGTAATGATATCTTTGAAATAATAAATACCCCCATGGAGGGGCAAAACCTCATTTTTGTAGGCATTCATAAAGGCCACAGTTTTTGATTTTTGTTTGACGCATTCTGTAATAGTCTCAAATTTACTCTGTTTATCTTACCTCAGTTTTGCTTATATAGTAATTCTGAAATTGAAGTATTGATGGATGTTCTTTCAAATGAGTTGTGTAGGGCAGCCCGCGTGGCTCAGTGGCTTAGCGCCACCTTCAGTCCCGGGTGTGGTCCTGGAGACCCGGGATCGAGTCCCACATCAGGCTCCCTGCATGGAATGGAGCCAGCTTCTCCCTCTGCCTATGTCTGTGCCTCTCTCTCTCTCCCTCTCTGTGTGTGTGTCTCTCATGAATAAATAAATAAAATAAAAAAAAAATGAGTTACGTAGTCATACAGGTTTGGGGGGACTTGTACTGACAGTTACTTTTTTGACCCTCCTTGCTCAGAGACTTTCTTATTCTAATATTATGAAATGCATTTTAAATTTCAAAGAGGAGGACCTAGGGTGTAGTGTTTTTCACCCTTATTTGACTGTGGGACCCCTTTTTTTAAGCACAACTATTGACCTCTCCCAGATTGGTATCTAAAACACAGTTCAGAAAGTACTGCATACACATAAACTACCTTTTCTGCCTCTGTGATTTTGTTCAGTTTGCACCCTCATTTTTCTCTCCGGTTTTTGAAAACCTGCTCATCTTTCCAGCACCACCTAAAATGCCATTTCTATCATGAAGCTATTTCTGATTTTCTGAATGTAATATCTTTTCTTGGAAGCCTGATGATACACATTCTTTGCATGTCTTCTGGTAGTTCGGACACCTTTGTGTTCTCTGTGGACATTTTCTTACCTCTATTGGGTTAAACCCTCCTCGAGGAAGAGGACTGTCTCTTACTTTGGATGCCCTGTGGTACTGCCCTTCCTCACGCGGAGCAGGGCCTCAGTAGGAATACGTAATTGTAGCCAACCAGGGACTCCTTCAAATTAATATGTTTAGATTAGCCCTTTACCTAACTGAATTTTACATTGCTTTTCTTTGTTATACTTACCTGAATTCTCTGTATTCAGAAAAGAGACCCTTTAGCTTAAAGTAAGGCAAGTATTTTAATTTCTTTATTTTTAAGGTTTAGTTAAATTCCAGTTAGTTAATACACAGTGTCCAGTAGTTTAATTTCAAGATGCTTGTTTTTTTAAAATCTGTCCATGTTTTGTGTTCCCGTCATAAATTCCCGAGATTGTACTAAGCAACTTCTAAGTATTCAGATAGATAGAAACTTAAGATAGATTCTAAGATAGACTCCTAGAGCCAGTTTTACACATCAAGGCCAACACTACTGTTTCACACTCTATTGTTTCTAGTGAAGACAGTAAAAGAAGCAGTTCTGAAAATTAGGCAGTTCATGTTATGATTTTGAAATCCACAGTTTGGAACAGCCGTAAGTTTCAAAGGGGGGAGAAAAAAAGCACTTTCATTTTTGCCTCCTACTGAGTCACCAACCAAGAAAGGTCGGAGTGGCAGTAGGAGGCAAAAATGAAAGTCATTGTTTTCCTATGAGACACAGGCTGCCACACAGCATAAATTTCCAGATTATATACGTGGTTCTGCATCTCTTTTCACACTGTTCGCTTTAGCTTGTGCCTCCTGCTGCTGCTCCTGTGTGGGTGGACCTCTCGCCCTGTTGGAAGCAGGCAAGTGTCATCCCAGGTCCTAGCTGTCTGTGGCAGGTGGGGGGGGGGGAAAGGGAGAAGGATTTTGTCGTTCCCCCCCCATCCCTGCATTCAGACTGATAGTGTGAGATAGTGAAAGAAAGATTACCTGACAAGAGCTTATAGGCGTTACTGCTTATTAAGTCTTTGAAGAATGTTACTGCTCTCAGCAGCGTTATTTTAAAGGGCTGGGAAAGGACAGTGTGCTCGGGGTTGACAAGCTTCTTTTGTTTTGTTCCACGCCATTGGCCTGAATAACCGGGGTGATATGGCAACATATGGTTAGCCAAGTGACTTCTTTCACTTTTGTAATGCTAATATGATGTGGACATAAACAGAAATCCAGGGAAGTCAGCTTTCTGAGTGTCAAATACCAATTATGCCCTGTTACAATGATGAGTGATGTATATTCTTGGCATATCTTTCCTTGTTCCGAGATGAATACTCTAACCCCATGATGCATAATATCTGGTCTCATTTTTAGTATAGGAGTTTCTTTCTTTCTTTCTTTCTTTCTTTCTTTCTTTCTTTCTTTCTTTCTTTCTTTCTTTCTTTCTCTTTCTTTTTAGTTTTAGATTGTGAGATTTATGTATCTCTTCAAATGTGTTTTTGTCATTCAAATGTGTTACTGTCATTCTCTTGAACTTAGGGAAAATTTGTTCTATCAGCTTCCATTTTTTCCCTTACCTTCTTTTCCTTCCTTCTTCTCTCCTTTGATTCCTTCCACTAAAGCCTAGAAGATACTGCAAGGGAATTTTGACTAGATTTTTATTCTATGTATTCTCATTGCTTTAGGACTCTTATTTGTGAAACAATGGATTGGGCTGAACTTCTTAAAAAAATACAGACTGTGTACAAGATGTTGACAGATAAATAGTAAAATGTTTACTTTCTACTCTGAGACTAATTTTAAACAAGGGAAATTTACAAATAACTTTTGTGAGTATTTTAATTAGTGGTCATTGATTGAAGCGGGCTATGGTACATTCACATTTTCATCCTAAATTTAAATATAAACAATTATTAATTGGTCCAAGTCTAATTTCTGGGGGTGATTAGAAGGAGGAATAATTTTAATTGTAATCTTCGGGGCTTAGATTATAATTATTATTTGTTAATTTGTAGATATCTGCTGTTATGCTTTGGCTACCTATTAAGGAGGGAAAGCATCCCACATCTACAGGTAGAAAAATAGTCTTTATTTTACAGCTTGGAAGATATGAGAATCTGGTCTTGCAGTTTTCCAATCCAAGCAGTAAGGTAGACTGACCATTCCTTTAAGCTTCATGGCAGCCCAAACTACAATCCACTTTAGTTTTGCATCTCTGTGGAAGGAGTACAGAGAGGTGAGAGGAGATTTACCTCATAGAATGTCAGGCTAGTGATCAAGGTGTGTTGTGGGCCAGAGTGAAGCAGTACCCTGTGGGTAGAATGGGTACTGAGTGGGTAGAATTTTTAGACATGGTAACTATATTACCTTCTCCTCTTAGCTTATCTTTTTTTTTTTTTTTAAGATTTTATTTATTTATTCATGAGAGAGACACAGAAAGGCAGAGACATAGGCAGAGAAGTAGGCAGAGAGTCTGACGTGGGGCTTGATCCCGGGACTCCAGGATCATGCCCTGAGCCAAAGGCAGATGCTCACCATGGGAAGATGCTCAATGTCTTGGAGCCACCCAGGAGTCCCTCTCTTTAGCTTATAGAATTTCTTTGTGAAGTCCTCATTGAATTTATTATGATAAATTGATTTCGCCAAGGTACCTATCATACAGCATTGAATAGGGCTTCTATTTTGAGGCGTTTTTTTTTTTTTTTTTTTTTTTTACAACTTTAGGTGTAATATTCTCCTTTTCACAGTTTAATTAATTGACTAACTTTATTGGTAAAGCAGAGGAGAATGAGCAGCAGCTACTTTGAGGAAAGAAGACTCTTGCCATAGTTTCAGTTCATGACCATGAACATCAAGTAACCCTTAATTATATGTGTCAGCAGCCATATTTGGCTCACCCAGCTCCTCAGTGACTACTTCATCTTTTCTCTCCTCAGCCCCCAATACTTTGTTCCCCATTCTCACTCTCAGCTAACACCCTTGCTTCCTACTTCACTTAAAGAAAAACTGAATCAGAAGAGATCGCCCACAGATTCCTGCCATGGATATCTTCCTCCCAGAATCTGTACTCATGTGATCTGCCGTTTCTGTTATCAGATGAACGGAGCCAGTTGTTCTCAAAGGCCAGCTCTCCCATGAGAACCAGATCTCATTTCCATCCCCTGCTTATTTCCGCTTTCTTTACTGAGCCCTTCCCATTATATACAATTGTGCTGTTACTTCTTCCATCAAACAACAAACCAAACCAATGCAACTCAAAAAACAGCATTTGAAGTCTTCCTTCTCCACAGCTATTGACCTATTTCTCTGCTGCCTTTTATTGCAAAGTTCCTAGAAAGATTTATTTGTAGTTTTGTCTCATTTCTCCTTTCACTCTCTGAAATGTACTCCAGTAGTGCTTTCTCCCTGACTATGCTGCTGAAACTGCTCTTGCCAGGATTGTGCTTCCCATGTTGCTCCGTCCAGCTGTCTGTCCTCAGGCCTCATCTTCCTGCCTTACCAGCTGCATTTGATAGAGTTGATCATACTTTTTCTTTGAAGCCTGTTCCCTGCTTAGCTTCCAAGAACTTTGTTTTTTTGCTTGTTAGTGTTCCCTCCTTTGCTAATTTCTCCTTCCCTTCTGAACCTCTTAACAGTTCAGGATTCTAAATATGATCTTA